GGGGGGGGGGGGGGGGGGGGGGGGGGGGGGGGGGGGGGGGGGGGGGGGGGGGGGGGGGGGGGGGGGGGGGGGGGGGGGGGGGGGGGGGGGGGGGGCGGCGAGCACTAAGGAATTTACCGGTTCTGTAACTCAGCCACGCAGGGAACTACCTGGGACAGCTAAGAGACAGACCTGGGTCCCACTCCCACAGAGGCTGGCTTCATTGGGCTGGGGTTGTTGCCCGAACACGAGGAACTTAAAAGCTCCCCCAGTGATTCCAATATGCACCCATGTTGGAGAACCACTAATTAAACACACTTATTATGAGTTTCAGACATTTCAAGAAGTTAGAACACCTTTTTCATATCCTTTAATTGTCACAATAGCCCTTGGATGTTTTACTGAGATTCAGCTGTCAATCATGGTGAGGTTAAGATCGGAATTCAGATCCTCTAACTCCAAGGTACATTCTCTTTCCATATACCTGTATCTGTTGTAAGGGTGTAGACAAGGCATGAAAGCAATCTCCACTGCCAACAGATCATGAACAAATTCCCTAAGTGCAAGACACATAGATTTGGAGATGAAAACACCACAGACAGCAGTGATAACCCCTCTCAGTGCAGAGGACTGAGCCACATAGAGAAGGCAGAGGGTATGCTCATCTGTGAGTTTTGAGGAGATGGGGAGAGAAAATGCACCGGATCCAGGCTAGCAAGTTTACCATACACCCAACATGTGTTCTAAGATACCATACTTAAGACACTCAATGGCATGAAAAGAATGGACAAGTCTTGGGCAGGGGGTGGGGCCTCTTCACTGGAGAGGGAACAGTAAGACAGATGTCAAGAGTTCACCTCTTGGAGCCATAGTTTCTTCTTCCCACTTTAAGCATTCTGACCTTCAATAGGGGCAAAAAACCAATCCTAACACATCCCCCACCAGGCAGCTTCAATTTCTCCAGTCTGTCTTCCTCCCAGAACTATGATCTGAGCTTCCTCGGTGAGGAGACATATGACTAGGACCCTCAAACATTCTTAGTCAACAGATCGCTTAGGCAGGGCAAAGCATCCCTTCAATCCCTATCCCATCCACTCCAACTTCCCCCTCAAAAAGAAGCACCATCATTACCACCAAACCAACTTTCCTGACTGAATGGAAATGATGTCGCCACTTCCAATTAGGAATTAACGCAAACCAAGACAGAAGTGAAGACAATGGAACATCCATGTTTGTCATACTACAAGAAGACAGCCCACAATCCACATGAAGTCCCTAAACCATGGATGTGCAGATGCCGGACCTCATCCTGAGGCCCAAGACACACACTTCAAGGACAGCAAATGCTCCTTCTTAAAGACAACGATATTCCACGGTTCCTCCTGGGTCAGAAATGGGCCTCGTGGTATTCTATTCCAACCTGTGATATACCCCAGCTGCCTCCTGGTCCCTAAAGCCTAGTGTTGATGTGAAAGAACCACAAGGAATTACAGGAAACAACAGCAGGTTAAACTTTCACATCGATCGCGCTGATAAGCACAGCCACTTACCCAGCACCGCCAGACAGCTCAGCACTGGGAAAAAGCACTTCATGTCGGCAGTCGCGAGAAGACACAACACAGGTCGCTTCCTCCTCTCCGAGCTCCTAACCTCTCATTTCTGGCAATCCACTTATAGCTCCAGAAAACCCTTTTGGAAATAAAAGTTAACTCAGAAAATGAGAACAGATTAAAGAGATCAGGAGGGCGTTGGAGGGCAGAGGGGAGGCGTGGCAGCATGCGTTCAAACTCCCCTACGATAAAGGAAGGGTCCAGAACAATTCTGAAGGCGCCCCAGGCGCCTGCCACACCGTGTGCCTTGCAGTTTTCACTGGAACTGTAGATTGTGTTGTGTTAATCCTCAGGGAAAAGGGAAAAAGAGAGTCTGAGAAAATCCTTTCATCCACTGATTATACAGAAATGTCCTTGGCTTCCCAGTGAAGGTGTCTGTGATCTCCCTCATTCGGATTCTCCAAAGGGAATAGAGCAGGTTTTGTCAAAACCTTTGAGAAGCCAAATCACCCTGGCTGGCATCGACTGTGTAGGTTCCTTCATCAGAAAGTCTGCATCCATGGCGGTAGGTCACGGAGCTGTCACCTGCCCCACATCTGCCCAGGACACACGAAGCAAGTTGACGTTCTGCAGTCCTGAAGCAGTCCCACAATGCCAGCAGATTTCTAAAGCAAACACAACCGAGATTTATCAAAGGCAAACACAACCGCCGCAAAACCGAGAGGGGCTGAGCGCTGCGCTGTCCGGACACCTGGGTCCCCTTCCTGGACCAGGACAGTCAGCCTTCGCATTCTGACCTTGGGCAAGGGGCCACCTTTCCCTCCGCCTCAGCTTCTCTGCCCAGAGCAGGGCAATTGTGAGAAGGTTCGATTGTTCCTCAAATACTTTCACCCAGTGCTGCACTCCTGGGAATTCCCGTCGCCTCCTGACGAGCCCCGGCGCCGCGGGGAGCCCCACCCTCGGCCAGGGCAAAGCGGGAAGGGGCTCCGGGGTGGGGCCGCGACTCCCGGGCTCCCCCTCTGGCCCCCGCCCGCCCCAACCGTGGGAGCTCTGCGCACGCCGCGTCCCAGGTGGCCCCGCTATTGTTTTACCTTCCCGGGTGTTTATTTTTCGCTGGTTGGAAAGAAAAGAGGCCGGGGCTCCGCTTTCCGCTGCCGGGGCGCTCTCTTCGAGCGCCCGACCAGCCGG